ATAATTTGATCACCCAAAGTCACACTTCTGTCACTAAAGCTATCACTACTAAAATTACATTCCATGTATTCAGTTTCAGTTCTACTTAAATGAAGGCCTTTAGACTCCAACGTAGACCTCCATAAGTCAAGTTTTCATGGGCTTTTTCTCTCGTTTTATCCACTAGAAGGATATCATCAGCAAAAAGCATACACCAAGGCACATCCTCCTGTAGATGTCCAGTAAGACCATCCATAACTAAAGCAAAAAAGATATGGGCTTAAAGTCGATCCTGATGTAATCCAACAGAAATAAGAAAATATTTGGTCAATCCTCCTTCAGTTTGAACACAAGTAACAACTCTAGTATACATATCTTTAATGACTTGAATATAAGTCATATCAACACATTTCTTCTCGAGAACTCTCCAAAGGATATCTCTTGGAACCTTATCGTAAGTTTTTTCTAAATCAATAAAAATCAAATGTAGATTCTCCTTATTATCTCTGAACTTCTCCATCAAACCTCTCAATAAATGTATAGCTTCCATAGTAAGCCTGCCCGGCATAAATCCAAATTGATTATGAGAAATCTTTGTAATGTGTCTTAACCTATGTTCAATTATCCTCTCCCATAACTTTAAAGTATGACACATCAACTTAATACCTCTATAATTTGCACACTCTTGTGCATCTCCTTTATTCTTAAAAATGGGACTAAAATACTCTTCCTCCACCCCTCAGGCAACTTTTTAATTTTTAAAATAATATTAAAGAGTTTAATAAGCCAAGCAACTCCCAAATCTCCTAAATATTTCCACACTTCAATTGGGATATCATCAGGTCCTACAGACTTTCCACCCTTGGTTTTCTTTAAAACCTCATCAACTTCCTTTTTATTAATGCGACGGTAAAAATGAAACGTTTTATTATTATTCATGATATTAATATCACTAAGGTCGATCGTATTTTCAGAAACTTCATTAAAAAGTTTATCAAAATAACTCACTCACTTATGTTGAATATCTTTTTCTAAGAAAAGTACTTTTTTTTATTTTCATCTTTAATACATGTTACTTAAGTTAAATCTTTACTTTTCTTTTCTCTTTGTTTGGCTAGTTTATACATATATTTTTCACCCTCCTTAGTATCTAATCTATTATAAAAATCATTAAAAATTGAATTTTTAGCGTCACTGATTGTTCTTTTAGACTTTCTGCGGGTTATTTGATATTTTTCTCAGTTCTCTAAGCTTTTACATTTAAACAAATTTTTATAACATAACTTCTTATATTTTATTTTTTCTTGTACATTATTATTCCACCACCAACTAACTATTTTTATTAATAAATTTTTTTTCTTTAGATTCTTTTAATAGTATTTGTTACTTTATCCCACATAGCATTTGCTTCATCATGAACATCCCAAATTTTGAAATCTTAAATTTTACTCATAAAAATAATTTTATTTGTCTTTTAGGTTTCTGCATCTAATTCTACGATGATGAGTCCTACTATTCTTTATTTTATAACTTTTCATCTTAAAATCAAGAACTAATAAATGATGTTGAGTACTTAAATTTTCACTTGGAATGACCTTACAGTCTTTATAGTCTCGACGATCTCTTCTTCTCATAAAAAAATAATCAATTTGTGTTTTATTAGATCCACTCTTATAAGTAATAAGATGTTCATCACTTTTCTTGAATAAAGTATTAGTAATAACAAAATCATACGCTAAAACAAAATTTAAAATAGTTCTACCTTCTTCTACCTTCTTCATTAGTTTACCTTCTTCATTAGTTACTCCAAAACCGTAGTCATAATGAGTATTTCTGAAGTCTTATACCACTCTACCGACATGTCCATTTAAAGCTCCTCCAATAAAATTTTTTTTCTTCAAGAGAAATAATTTGTATTAAGTCTTCTAAGTTATTCCAAAATTTATCTTTAAACCTTGTATCTAAACCTACTTAGGAGCATAAGCACTTATAATATTAAAAATCTTAGTATCAATGATAATCTTAAGGACTATAATTCTAACTCCAACTCAATTAATTTTTACAACATTATCTTTCAAACTCTTATATATAATTACACCTACATCATTTCTAGTGCAACTCTTACCAGAATACCAAAGTTTAAAACCTAAATCATCAATCTCTTTAGTCTTTTCTCTAACCCATTTAATTTATTGAATACATAAGATATTAATTTTCCTATGAATCATAATATCAACTAATTTCATTAATTTATCATTGAGAGTACCTATATTCCAAGATCCTATCATAATATTAGTTTCATTAATTTCATGGACTAACTTTTTTACCCGCATTCGTCCGTAATGTGAGAACCCTTGTTTATTTGACGTTACACTGGACGCCGGTGTAGAGGCCCTTGCACTCTTCACTGTATTCAGGATATATAGCGCGTCGCTTCCAAAGGACGCCCTAACACTTACACAATGATCAAAAGGATTCATGTCATGATTTTTTTCGACAAGTTTTACGTTGGCTGTCGAGTACCTAACATAACCCTCCACTTTTCACATCCGGGCTTGGGACCGACAAGGGCAGTATTATTTAAGTTAATTTCCATATATAAAAAAATGATAAGTTATGTAGATTGCTTTATATACCATATTGTTCAGAATACTAGGATATTAAGAGTTGATTGCTTGGGGTTTTCAGCATTACTCGTTAATTTAAAAAGAAAAGAAAGCTTGAGGTGTTACATACAAATAGGTGCCAGAACTTGTGCATCATTGGATGTCACATGATGACTGCACCCTTTAGTTACTTGTAGGTTTAATGCTTGAAGGGTAATGTAATGTTATTTTAAACTATGATGGCGCAATTTTGCTAATGAGGCTATCTGGTGGATGTCATTTCATTTGGTTTTGATGTGCAAAATTTGAATAAATTTGAATGATGTGAGATAGGGGTTAAAGCAAGATTGGCATGTAACTTGCATGCAGAGTTCGACTAATATGGAAATTTCATTCAAGTGTTCAAGCAATTTAAATAAAAATGGAACCAATATATATTTAAAACGAGATTGATCGCAAGATTTAAAAAAGATTGATCATGTGTTAACCTTACTTGCTGCCTAGGTTATGAGGTGTTTATAAATAGTAATCACAGGTATGAAATTCACAAATTTTAACAAGAATAAAATTCCTTTTCTAGTTCAATTTTATAAATTCAAATACGACTCTTTTGAGTACCTAATTCTAGGGAAGTCATCTCATTATATTGGCCTGAAGCCTGATTTTCTTATTTTGTAAATTCAATCATTTTGAATGTTGCCTATATAATTTGACATTGGCTTTTAAAAATCTAAATGATGAAATATATTCGATTTGCTCTCAGATTCTATCTGTTTCCTATTTTCTAACTAATTTGCTTATATTATTGATCATTTCATTATCATTTATATTAAACTTTAGCATCGCTTGTTTTAATTTACAAGTGGCCGGTAGAAATAATTGGTTACTTGTGATATGTAAATCCTCATTTTTTTACATGAAAACCTATTAGGCATCATATTATTCACATTAAAAATCTCAATCCTAAATAGCCAAGCGTCGATAAAAAAGTTAGAATTATTTAAAGCTACAACAACAACAACAAGTCTTTATCCAGCTAAGTGGGGTTGGCTATATGAACCATTATTCTCCATTGCGTCCTATTGAGTGTCATATTTTCATTTAATTTTAATAGATTAAGATCAATTTTTATACAATACGCCCAGAACTTTCAAGTTTACCTTTGCCATTCTTAGCATAAGATGAATTTAAGACATCTACTCTCCTAACCGGATTATCAGATGGTCGAGGCTTAATGTGACTACAACATCTAAGACGACTCTATCTAATCTTGTCTACCACTGGAGCTAACCTATCACAGATATATTCATTTCGCATTTTGTCTCCAAGCATTAAGCTACTCATCCACCTAAGCATTCTCATCTCAGCAATACTTAACTTTATTTTATGCTTATCTTTTAAAGGCCAACATTCTGCGTCATAGAGCGTTGTAGGTTTTATCAGCATCTTATAAAATTCTTTTTTAAGTCTAAGTGGTACTTTTCTATCACACAATAGGCCCGATGCATTCTTCCACTTCTACCAACCAACTTTACCAACCAACTTGAATTCTACCTTGAATTCTACTAATAACATCCCCATCTATATCACACATCAATAGATACTTGGGAGTTTCTTGACACATCAACTAAAATTTGCACACTCTTATGCATCCCCTTTATTCTTAAAAATGGGGAACAAAATACTCTTTCTCCACCAAGGAATCTTTTGTCTTTAAAATAATATTAAAGAATTTAGTAAACCAAGAAACCCCCAAGCATCCTAAATATTTCCACATTTCAATTGGGATATTATCAAGTCCTACTCATTTTCCACCCTTGGTATTCTTTAAAGCCCCTCAACTTCTTTTTTACTAATGCGACGTTAAAAATAAAATGGTTTATTATTATTAAGAATATAAAGACCACTAAGGTTAATTGTATTTTCAGAAACTTCATTGAAAAATTTATCAAAATAGCTCACCCACATATGTTGAAAATCTTTCTCTAAGAAAAATATTTTTTCATTTTCATCTTTAATACAATTTACTTCAATTAAATCTTTACTTTTCTTTTCTCTTTGTTAGAATAGATTATACATGTATTTTTCACCGCCTTTAGTATCTAATCTATTATAAAAATCACTAAAGCAAAATTTTTAGCATCACAAATTGTTCTCTTAGACTCCCCATGGGCCACCTTATATATTTCTCAGTTCTCTAATCTTAAATAAAATAAAATGCCTAGAAATCATGTTTGGGAAGCTATTGCACAAATGTTTCAATAGACATGCCAAAAATAACCAAGTTCCCCGTAATTGATACAATGTTGGTGATGCCTTGAAAATAGCAATGTTCACATTCAATAAATATTCAAGATTTTAATATCAAAGAACTATAATTTAATTTTAAATTTGTTTTCATAAAGTATCACAAACCTGGTTTGACAATGGAATTTGTCGTGATACATCCCAAATAATGATGGTGTTCTCGCTAATATTGCTCCTTGAAGTGTCGGTCGAAGCAATAAAATTCTTTCCATCAACACTAAATTCAACATCAAGGATTGGACCCAAATGTTTGAGATATTCATGTACGGCCTTCTTAGCCCGCATGTCCCATAGACGAAGAAACCCTTTTGAACCTCCCGAAAGAAAAAGATTTGAGTTTGTTGTGTGTAACTTTATTGATTGAACAACTTGATCTTCCTTGAATTGTTGTTTTTCCACCCCTTTCTCAACATCAATTAGCCTTGATGAACAATCATATCCACAAGACAGTAGACACAGCCCTTGTGAACACCACCTCACATCTGTCACTGCTGCTTTGTGATGGCTGAAAGTACATACTTTCTTCTGAGCTTTGCTCCATACATTCCATACAAGAACAGAGTGATCCATTCCAGCAGAAGCAAGAAGATGTCCTGCACATGGTTTCATTTGGAAAACAAAAGCAAACCTTTATGAAAAAATGTAATCTATTTTATTATTTTATTTTATTTTATTTTATTTATTTATCTTTATGACAAAATATAAACCTCTGGCAAAACTTCAAAACTGCTTATTTCATATAATGCGTGCGGTAAAAAGCAAAGTAAATTCAGGGGCTAATACAAAGCTCTACATGGAAAGGATTATAATAAAAGAAAAATATTTATTTCAACCAAAGAGCCAACACATCTGCTCTTGTGTGATCTCATATATAAAAGGACTGCAATCTAAAAACAATCTGTGGAAAAACACCACATCTTTTGATTCTTTTTATGGGCATTTACATATAGACCACTGAATTCCTATAATTTACATATCAAACACCTAAAGTTTACTTTTTACATTTATAGCACCCAAATCTTTTATATTACATCCAAAAGTGCCACTATTTTAGCTTTTAAAAAGTGAAATACACCTTTTCATGCATAGATAAGGTGGTAAACAATAACAACAACAACAACAACAAGCCTTTATCCTACTAAGAAGGGTCGGGTAGATGAATCTTTTTTCTCCATTGCATCCTATTGAGTCTCATAATTTCATTTAATTCTAACAAATTAAGATTATTGTATACAATATGCCCAAATCTTTTTAAGACTAGCTCTATCTTTCTTAACATAAGTCGAATCTAAAACATCTTCTCTCCTAAACGGATCATCAGATGGTCAACGTTTAATGTGAACAAATCATCTAAGACGACTCTTTTTAATATTGTCCGTCACTGGAGCTACACCAACCCTATCATGCATATATTCATTTTGCATTTGTCTCTAAGTGGCAAGCCACTCATCAACCTAAGCATTCTCATCTCATCAACACTTAACTTTGTTTTATGCTTCTCTTTTAAAGACCAACATTCAATGCCACAGATCATTGCAGCGTCTCAGCACCATCTTATAAAATTTTCCTTTCAGTATAAACGGTACTTTTCTACCACACAATAGTCTCAATGCTTTCCTACACTTCAACCAACCAACTTGAATTCTACTAATAACATCCCCATCTATATCACCATCACTTTGAAAAATAAACCCAAGATAACCCAAAAAATAAACCCAAGATATCTAAAACATTCACACCTTTTAATGATTTAATCATACATAGTTACAACTCGGCCACTAGAGCTACTACTAAGGAAATTATATTCCATGTATTCAGTTTTAGATCTACTCAAACGAATGCCTTTAGACTCCAATGTAGACCTCCATAATTTAAGTTTTTCCTGAACTTTTTCTCTGGCCTTTTTCACGAGAAATACATCATCAGCGAAAAGCATACACCAAGGTACTTCCTTCTGTAATTGTCCAGCACGAACATACATAACTAAAGCAAAAAGATATGGGCTTAGAGTCGATCCCTAGTGAAATCCAACAGAAATAGAAAAATACTTGGTCAATCCTCCTTTTGTTCGAACGCAAGTAGAAACTCTATTATACGTATCTTTAATGACATGAATATAAGTCATATCAATATTTTTCTTCTCTAGAAGTCTCCAAAGGACTTCTCTTGAAATCTTATCGTAAACTATTTTCTAAATCAATAAATATCATATCTAGATCCTTCTTATTCTCTCTATACTTCTCCATCAAACCTCTCAATCAATGTATAGCTTCCATGGTAGACAAGCCCGACATAAATCCAAATTGATTATGAGATCATAGGTAAGGTGGTATGAATGTAAAAAATGAAGTATAGATGTTATATATGTAAATACATAGGATATTAGAGGTATGAATGTAATCTTCCTTTTCTATATGAAATATATCTAATGCTGAAAATGAGTTGACTTGAATAGGTGCAAAGAACATCCCACATCACATTTCATTAACGCATCAAGATGCAGCTTTTAATGTAGAAGCTGCAGCAGTAACTTATGTAACTATATGTTACCTTAATGTACTTCTGTTGTCAACACTTTGGCAGCAATAATTTTTTACTTAATAATCAACTCAAATCAAAATTATTAAAGACAATTCATGCAAACAATAATGTATAATGTAAGTTGAGAATAACAGCCGGAAAAGATGCAAACTTTAAGAAAAATAACGAGGTTTTTATCGAGGGAATCTTATATTCAACAATTTAGTTTTTTGAGTGATGAAGTGGTCATTTCAAAAGGTTGGGAGAAACACCTCTTTAATATGGTATGGTTGTGTTATAATTTTATGCCCTCATCAAAGTATCATGGCTAACAAATTATTTTTATAAGTTTTCAAAATCTTTTTTTACTGTTAAACAAGCACATTTGGATCAAATATATAGCGTCAGTGCTATACAAAAAAGTGCTTTCAAACTACTACTACTACTACAAAAGCAACAAGAAGTGGCCTTGATCACACTAAGTAGGGTCTACTACATGAATCATTTTTCTCCATTGCATCCCATTAAAATGAATAAAACTATCAAATTATTTTGTCAAAAGTTCTGAAGATAACTTTGAAACTAATAACTCACCGTGATTATAAGACCATTGGATCGAATTAATGGCTTTACTATGACCCTTAAAAGTTAGAGAGAAATTTCCAGAAGTATTGTTTCCATGTGCATAAGATTTACCACGATTCTTTAACAGCGACTTCAAAACACTGGGAAGATCTGCATCAGACAGAGTTCCTACATCTGAAATGAAGCCATAATGAAACAAATAATCAACCAACTATTAATCATAGAGTAAATTGCCAAAGTAGTTCGTGACTAATTACATGGGTTCATCTTAGTCCCAGAGTTTATAGAAGTGCCAAAATATTCCTCAAACTATTTAAATTGGGGTTGAAATAACCCTCATGGAGGACAATTAAAGCTCAATCTTAAAATATTTGGGGACTATTTTGTCATAGCACTTCTATAAACACTAGGACTAAAATAACCACATGTAACTAGTTGGGGACTATTTTGACACTTTACTCATTAATAACATATTTGTCAGCATTAGTTTACGCTCTAGGATAATCATTTATTTGATGTGAAAGAAATTGAGGGGTCGTCTGATTTGATAATATATTCTCAATGATGTCATGTTATTAACATATATCATTAATGTCGGTCTTTCATTTAGTGTCAATTTTGAATAAAAAATTTGAAAACTATATTTTAAGTTCCATTTTAATTACAATTATATGTCTTTAATCAAAGCTTCTGATATCTCAATGTCTAACTAACAGATGACTGTATTAAGGGGTGGTTTGGTTCAATGTTGCACAGAATGTAATGACATGATATTGAAAGAACAACGAGCAATGGCTTTTTAATGACAGTTTTATAAAAGACCTTTACAACCTACTTTAAAGCTATTAATTGAGGCTGAATTAAATAAGAATAAAAAGAGAAATCATAATCACCATCAATATTTCTAGATAACATTAAAATGTTTAAGATAACATTGAAACAAAAGCACTGCATTTGATAAATACCATTGTTATCTGGATAAATGGTCATCTAACTAACAATACCATGTTCTTAACATCGACCCAAACAACCTAAATGATATGAAAAAATAAAACTTATAGCCATTTAGATTTTTAAGGATATGGTAAAATCGAACTGAACAGGTGATATTTGACAGATAATTGTTCTATAAATAAAACAAATTGCAAAGTAAAACGCAATCTAAATAATACGAACCCAAACACCACCAAAACCAATAAAATTAACGAAAATAATACTTCGTGATTTCCTCATTGAATCAAAAGCATAAATCAATACATCCGGGGCGCTTACTAGAAAGATGAGAAGAACCGGGAGGCGTGATAACCGGAGGAAGGGAATCCGTAGGCATTGAAGTAGCCGAAAAAATCGCTCTCTCCCTTTTCGAGACGTATCTGCCTGCAACCAAAGGAACTTGTCCAGGCTCGCCAGATGACAGAAAGCCTTGCCTGTTCGTCTGAGAGAAGGGAACATGGTGTAAGGAACGGCCATCCAACCGCCTTTTCTTAGCAGGAAAGATGGGATGCGGGTCTTTTTCTTCTTCATCGTCGTCGGAAGCATTTGCATAAGCTCTGCAGAGGAGATCCATTGCCCTATAATCTTCCTCGGTTTCTCTCTCGTGTCACCCTCGCCACTGTAATCGTTCGTAAAGCAAGGGAGTCGGGTCAACAAATTTTCACTGTTTTAGAGCGTATAAATGGAGCGCTTTTTCTGCTTCCGGACTATTTGCCATCTGCGGCTTAAGTTATTCTTAACTTATTTATTTTTGAATTATTTTTAATAATATCTAAATAATCTAAAAATAACTCAAGATCTTTATTTTTAATTTATTTTTGAATTATTTCTGTGTTATTGAAAATAACCTGAAAATAACTCAGAAATAACTTCTGCCACACATAGAGCTACGTCAGGAGTCCCATAGAAAAACTTCTGAAATAAATGAGCCTAAAATGAATGAGTATTTAAGTATGAGCTAAAAGTTCTAAAAATTAAATGAGTATCTAAATTCATATATAAAGATTTTAGTTTTCAAAAGTTATTCAAATTTGTCTATTTATTTATTTGAACGAATATGAACGAGTCTTAATCGAGCCGTGTTCGAGTTGTTTTTTGAGTGCATTTGTTGATTTATAACCATAGTGATAAGAAGGTTCTGCCCTTCTATTGCATAGAGATGATACATGATTGAATTCAATACCTAAAACATATTCTTTTAATTAATTTAAACAACTTAATTTTGATTTTAACACGAACATTAATATATAAATCGAGAGGAACACAAAAACACTATTTTCGAGCAATTTCATACACAAGCCAAGTTCGAACACAAGTTAATTTCAACTAATTCGAGCATGAGCCAGATATAAGCTTGCTCAAACTTAGCTCGCTTACAACCCTATTCGTCTATCTCATCTCAGTTAATTCAAGTTGCGGGGTCCAGTTTGGTCAAAATTGAAAATGACCCAATTGTTGTCTATCCTAAATCCTAATTCGTTTGATTTATTAAACGACCTAATTAAATCAAAACAAATAACAATATATGATAAATATTTAGGCCACATACATTTGAAATAGAAATATACATGTGTTTGATGTTGTAATCCAGTAATAACATAAATGTTATTACTATTGAGATGCATATCAGCAAGACAATAATCTAATAATTTAGAACCATGCAATAATAAATTTTTGGTGCATACACGAATTATTTTTTATCTTAGTTGAATCTTAATTGAATATTTTTTTATAATTTATTTAAATTTTATTCAAAGTTTATTTGAACTTAATTCTAATCATTTTTCAAAACTTATTTTAGTGAGTTTTAAATATGATTCAAATAAGCTTCTACTAAAATTGAAGTATGTTTCAATTAAAAATCAATATAGGTTTGAATATTGCCCAAATACGACTCAAATAAATAAAATTTAAACGTGGTTCAGATAAAATTTGAATGAGGTTCGAGCTTGATTATTTCCAGCATTTAAAAGGTAGTTATAAGATAACAACCATAACGCAATAGACTATTTGATATTTAACATAATGGCATATTATTGATCCACCTTAAAATTACTTGTTTTTAGTGCATATTTTATGATTGTTTGTTTTATGCATAGTGCATATTTTATGATTGTTTTATGCATATTTTTAGTGATATTGCAATTTAAATGAAGATATTTTTATATTTTTTTTTTGTTTCAGGTACATTGAATAGACATTTAAAGAAAATGGGGAAAAAATGAGCAAAATAGTACATATTGTATGACGTCATAGTGCCTCCCTCTGCGTTATAGCGCCACAGACGTGTGCAAAGGGTGTTATAACACCTAGACTGGCGTTATAGCTCCAGTAACTTTTCTTCTAGAAGATTCATTGAATTTGGTCGAATTTGAAGGGTTGTTTGAAGCAACCCTTGGTTATTTTTAGAGATATATAATATGGACGACAATTGGACGAAAAGGAAAATTTTTTGGCAGCATTTGAAGGCAGTAGGAAGTATTTTAAGTATATATTTTAGTGTATTTTGTGTTGTAAGAGTAAGAGTTTAGAGATTTCTTCAAGGAGACTCCAAAATTTGTGTTGGGGAGAAGACCTAAGGTACTTTGTATTTGTATTTAAATTTTTGTTTCTAAGACTTGGATTTCAATAAAATTTAGTGTTTTTGTTTTTAATTAGGCATTTTTTGTTTTATTCTTCATAAATTTGGAGTAGTTCCCTTTCTTTCTCCTTGCTCTTCGGAATTAATCTTGTGGGATGAGAATGATTTAAATATTTTTTAACTTTTAAAAATCGTGATGACATTTTCACCGATTCTTCATTGACTTTACAAATTGGTCACTTGTGAGGTTAAAATTCGTTGAGAAACATAAAGTCCTGTGAGGGCTATGATTTCACATAACTAGTGAGTGTCACACTTCATTCTGGGCAGAGCCGTTGCAATCACCTAAGGGGTAGGGAGATAAGTTTTGATGGACGTAAAATTGATGTTTATAGGGTGACAGACATGATTCTTTTTCAAATTTGGTTTAGAGTTTGTATCGTAAGGGTCCCTAGTAGGTCTTATAGAGAGAGCACAATGCGTAGTATGGAGCTGAGAGGCCATAATTTACTCAGTACAACTACACAAGCTTGTGAAAAACTTTAAATTAACCAATGTTCTTTGCTAACACCGGGATGGGGTAAAAAATAGGAATGCTCATATTTGTCACAATACATCATCCTATTTTTAGTCATTTAAATTCTACATAGATTATTATCTCATTGCAAGAGGAAATATCTTTACATATTATTTAAACTCTTTAAAATTACTTTTATTAAAATGTTAAATATAGTTGTTTCTATCTACTTTAATTTAGTCTTGACCATTGTTATCATTTTACTTTCATTTAAATCTTCAATTTTAATAGAATTTGCTTTTGAGTTTAGCAAGCCAATTTAAATAGTTCAATTATCCTTGTGGGATCGATACTGAGGTTTTTAAGGAAAATCATATATTACTTGAAACGATACGTATACGTGCGTAGTACCTCTAGTGTGAAGTTTTATTATTTATTTTCCATATCATTGTATTTATTTACACTAGCCGTTGAATATAATTTGGGTCAAGTTTTTGGCAATATTTTAGAGATTAAAAATACACTTAATTATAGGTCGGGTCAAGTTTTTGCGTCGTTGCGGGGATATGAAACGAAAACTTTTAAATTTGGAAAGTAAACTTTTTGATTTGCAATTTTGTTTGAATTGCAGATTTTATTTTACTAAAAATTTAAAATAAGAAGTTTCAAAAAAATTTTAAAACCGAAAATTCAAAAAAAAATTAGAAAACCGAAAATTAAAAAAAAATAGAAAAACAAAAATTAAAAAAAAATTACAAAAACCAAAAATTGATAAAAAGAAAATTCTATTTTATTTTATGAATTTTATCATTTGTATACGTAGTTCAAGATTTAAAGGTTTAGTGCCCTACGATTCTGAATTAGAACGTACTATAAGAAAAATTCAAAAATAAGAAATGCTTCCTCATTTTTAAGATATGACGAACACTTCAAAAAATAATATTGAAATTCAAATTTGTGAAAATTAACGTCATAATTTACAAAAACCTTTAAGAGATTATGCAAACCTTACGACAGATGAAATTCACTTAAGTATTCAAACTCCAGATATAGCGACTAACTCGTTTGAAGTTAAGCCTGCAAAAATACAAATGGTTCAAAACAAGCAGTTTAGGGGAACACCAAATAAGGATCCAAATTTACATCTTGCAAGTTTTTTAGAATTGTGTTCTACAGTTAAATATGATGTTGTATCAAAAGATGCTGTCAGACTTAGACTTTTCCTTTTTCATTAAGGGATAAAGCTAAGATGTGGTTAAATTCATTAGCATCTGGATCTATTAGAACTTTGGGAGATTTGACACAAAAATTTCTGACTAAGTATTTTCCACTTTAAAAAACTGCTAAACTCAGAAATGATATTTTCTCTTTTACTAAATATTTAGGGGAGTCAATTTATGAAGCGTGAGAAAGATATAAGGAACTCCTTAGGAAGTATCCACACCATACTTTACTAGACTGGTTAATTGTTCAATTTTTTTTATAATGGGTCAGTTGGCTCCCTTATATCTATCATAGATGCTGCTGTTGGAGGTTCAATAATGTCTAAATTATTTGATGAAGCATATGCTTTAATTGAAGAAATGACTACAAATAAATTTCAATGGTCTTCTGAAATGGTAAATCATAAGAAAGTGGCCAGTATTCACGATAATAATGTTATTTCAATAATTGATTCACAAGTTGCTGCATTATTGACAAAAAAAAATATGTTGAGATTTTCATGCCTATTTTACACTGATTTTGATAATATTACACTTTAAAGAAGGGTATTTTGATGTTTTGTTGCAGGTATGATGAATTATAGACTTTTGGAGAAAAAGAAACAAAAACGGTGCAATTTGAAGCAAAAACGAGCAAGAAATGAAATTTTGCCTTATCACATTTCGATAAGTCTTTCGATGTTTAATCTCTTTTACACTTCTTGCATATTTTTGAATGAGATTATACTTTAAAGGAAGATTGTTTTCATGTTTTCATTAAAGGAAGATTGTTTTCATGCTTATTTTATAAGGTTATCTGTTGGAACACAACGCAACTGAAATGAGGCAAAACAGAGCTAAAACAGAGTCAAACGGTGGAGCTGCGCAGTCTACCCGCCGAAGACGCCATAACTGCGCCGCAACAGGTATAACGGCGCCGACGGCGAGATTTACCCGAGAAGATCAAAAAATGAAAGAAAAACTCGCCGATAATGCTCGGGACAGTTATGGGCCGAAATTCAACGTATTTGGACGCTTTTTGAAAGGTTTCTTGTGGCAACTCTTCAAACTTCGTCCCTACACTTTAAAAGAACGAATTTAGGTTAGAAAAATGGGGATTTTTGTGAGAGGAATGTTAGGAAAAGTGTGGAAAAAGTTTAGAATAGGAGTAGAAATGTAGATTTCTACCCTTTTGGAGAGATTGGAGAGGAGATTTTGAGAGAATTTGTGAGGAGATGTTCTAGCATTGCATGGATCGACGGGAGATATTGTGGGAGAGATTTTCTTCTTTCATTCAAGGGAAAAAGCTAAGTATTGTGTTCTTCATTATCTTATGATTTTGTAACACTTATCTAGTGGATTTGCTTTGGTTAAATGAAGTTTTTGTTGTGTTTTCTTC